GCTGAAAAGGATGGCCATGATGTGTTGTTATAGTTATCCAAACGAAGTGCGCGTAGATGCAACAAGGATGCGACCATGGCGTAACCTTTTCCAGGTCGCCGTGGCGCACCTGAATTCTTTCGGGCTTGGGCTGGCTCCTCCGAACGTGGTTCCCGTCTCCACTAGAAATCTTGACAGTTTTCTGGATGATTTGAGCAACAGGCAGCGGCATCCCGATGGATTCAGCAAGTCAGTGGCTCTTTGTGAAAGGTTTCTGGTGACCATTCCCAGATGCTGTGCTGGTGCGTAGGATGGGTAGAGTCGGCTTGGAAGAGGGTGCGGTATGGGAGTGTGTTCGTGTCTGCTGGCGCAGTAGCAGTACGAGCATTTCGCATGATGTGTTATTGCGAAGGTTTGTGCCATCTGATTCGGGAGGCTTGGGCCAACGACGCGCTGGCGCTGACGTTCCTCACATCCCCTGCGTTGCCGCGCAATGGCTTGCGACGGCCTGCCAGCAATGGGTGGATGCCCCTCAGAGGTGTTCGAGCTTCTACCATAGCGATGCGCAGGAGGGCAGTTTTCTGTTGGAGTGGATACGCCTTCACGGCAGCCAAATCTGTTGCACATTGCTCGTGTTTTCAGACTGACGGTCGTGTTCGACGTCGGCAGACTCTGAGCCTCTAGTTTCCGACCCCCCGGAGGTGCCTTTTTGGGCCGCCCATTGCAGGCCCATCATCGCAGGTTGAGCATTCGCCCACGGTTTGGGCCGGCTCCATGGGCATGCGATGGGCCCAGTGACGCTGGTATCGGAAGCGGTGAGGCCCACGGAACATCCGCGCGGTCCCGGGAGGGGTGGTTACGTTGCATCTTCGGGGGACCTCGCTTGTCCCCAAAATTGTATCTTTTCTTGCGCCCAGCGCGGGCTCGATGCGGACTCGACGCGGCTTTGGCATGGACTCGACGCGGATCCGACACGGATTCGACGAGTCCGACGCGGAGTCGACCTGGATTCGATGCTGATGGGGCCGCGACGGGACAGACAAGGTCCCCCGAGGATGCAACATGCACGGTTCAGCATTCGCCCACGGTTTGGGCCGGCTCCATGGGTGCATGTGATGGGCCCAGTGACGCTGATACTCGCCGCCCACCAAACCAACCCAACCCAACCCGAAGGCCCAGATTTGCCCTCCATTTCCAGCGGGGGGGCGGGGGTCGGGGAACATGGGAAAACACACATGAAGCCCGTACCCCCCCCCCCAACCCAAAATTCGGGTCTTCGGCTCGGGCTGGGGTGGCATGGCAGGCAGTCAGAAGAAAATGACCGGAGGAGGGCCCGTCGAGAGAGGAGGGAGGAGAGAGGAGGGAGGAGGGAGGAGGGAGGAGGGAAGGGAGGAGGGGGAGGCGGAGGAGGATGGCCAGTCGAGAGAGGAGGGAGGAGGGAGGAGGGAGGAGGGAGGAGGGAGGAGGAGGCGGAGGAGGAGGAGGAGGCGGAGGAGGAGGAGGAGGAGGAGGCGGCCCTCCCTGGTAGGCAGGCAGGCACCAGACGCGGCGAGGCCCACGGAGCCTCCGCGCGGCCCCAGCAGGGGGCGGCGGCGGTGCCGTCCCGCGTGTGCTCGCGCGACGGCCCGCCCGGTGCAGGTCGGGTTGCGGAGCCAGCTGGCCAGGGCTCGTCTCGATCCCTCCGCCTCGCTTCGGCTTCGACGCCGGCGGCTTCCGGTTCTGATGTTCGACCTCGGCCTCGGCTGCCGAGTGGGGCTCCGACCTCTCAACGGAGGCCTGCCAGCGCGCCGATTTCCGCCGATTCGACGTTTCCCGACTCGGCTGCCGATTCCCCCCGATACGATTTCCTTCGATTGCCGATCCGACCGATCGATTCGATTCTGGGCTCTCCTGGCCAGCCCTGTGTGTGTTTGTGTGGCCCACGTCCTCCTCCTCCTCCTCTGGGATGTTCCTTGCTGATGCTCGCTCCTCCTGCCTCCCTCGTTCCCTCTCCCTCCTCGCTCTGGCTGGCTCCTCCTCGTCGTCGTCCCCTCCCTTCCTGTCCGATCGATTCCTCTAGTCCACTGCTCCTCCCCAGGTGCTAGTCGCTCACCCAGGGCGGTTTCATTTTTGCGCTTTCGCTCAGTGCGTGCAGAGCTATCGCGGGACCTCAGCCTTGCATCAGTTGCACTTCGCTGTATGCTAGGAATGTTGGCCTTCACTGTCAATGCTTTGCAGCACGGTCGAAATTTTGTCATTGCCGACGTACAACACGCGCGCATGCGTTTAGAATACCAGTGAGGAGCCACAGGATGATGATATTGACAAGGATACTATGCATTCCTAGTAGCTCTGCTCACGCTCAGGTGCCGATTATCTGCTGCCGTTGATCCAGAGTGGTGATTAGTGCAGTCTGCGCTCGCGTGCAGGGCAAGACGGGTTGGAGAGGTCATTGGAGAACGAGCGCACGGGAGCGCGGTGGGTATGCCCTGCTGCCGCGAGAGCGGGGAGCGAGGGAGAGACGCGGGCAGACGGCGTGGAGAGCGCGGGCAGACGAGCAGCGAGAGAGGCGCGATGGTGAAACAGTCTGCCAGCGGCATGATCCCCATGCCGTGGAGCGACAACACGCCGGCCACCATAGGAGACGCCCTTTTTGCGGCCCCGGAGGAAGGGGAAGCAGGAGGAGGAGGAGGAGGAGGAGGAGGAATAGGAGGAGGATGAGGAGGAGGAGGAGGAGGAGGAGGAGGAGGAGGAGCCACCGAGACGTCGCGCGCGCGGCCTCGTCGGGTGCCGTCCCGTGCGTGCTCGCGCGCGCTCCTCGCCCCGCTCCTCCTCTGCCCTGCCTCCCGCCTCGCCCCGCCCTCCGCGTCCGCTGCGGCGGGGCCATGGGGTTGGACACTTCGCGTGCCTGGTTCGGAGCAGCTTCAGGAGGGGGACAAAAACACACACTTTTTTGGTCGGCGGGTCGAGAGCGGGCCTCTTCCGGTTAAGAGCTAGGCGGGGCGCGCGAAGCACTAATTGGGGAGGCAGGGCGCGGGCGGGCGGGGCCTCAGGCGGCCAGAGGGAGCGGGGTACAGGCGGTGCCGAAGAGCTTGCAAAAGAAAACGCACACACACAATTCATCGTCGATTCCCCGGAAACTGTGGAAAAATATGGGAAGTGGGGGGGGGAAGGCAAAAACCCAGAAAATACAAGAAAACATGGGGAGTCGATTTATGTGGGGAAGATATGGGAAGTGGGGGGGGGGAGGCAAAAGGCAAGAAACTATAAAGAACAGCATGGGGCGTCGTTTTCTTTGTGTGCATTTGTTTGCGTGTCCCAGGGGCCCTTCGCATCTGCAGATGCTACAGGTGGTCCATACTCGCGGAGGAGGTAGGTCATTGCCGGCCGCGCCGGTGCCCACAAGCTCACGACGGATCGTGGCCTTGGGAGCGGGGAGCCTTCGCGTCTGCGAGTGCTCGTGGGGGGCCCTTTGAGTCTTAGGGCTCCCACGGGGAGGGTCTCCAGCGAAGTTTCGGGCCAGGAGGTATTTCCCAAGCAGTGCTTACACTCACGTGATCGTTTTTTGGATTCAACGTTTTGCCGAGCGGCGTGGGCCCTCGCCCCCGCCCCCCCCCCCAATGGAGTAGATCTGGGCTGTGTTTGGCGCCTGTTTCGAGCAGGTGGAGTCCCTCTCCCATTGGACGCCATGTTGCAAACAGTCGCACTAAGCAGAGGTCTGGAGCCAGACCCCCCCTCCCCCCCCTTCCGCCCAATGTCGAAACGTCGAACAAGAAAACGCTCCCGTCCAGGATGGGCTCCGTGTTCCTCAGTTGTTTCACAGTTTGCTTTGGGGTTCCCTTCGGTTCCCGATCGGGAGTCGAAGTTTAACGTATTGAATCAGGGGCCTCGTTCCTTATTCCAGGGCTGGACCTGAACGGTGTTTTGGCGATTTCGTGGGCCGTTTTCGTTTCGACTTCGTTTTGCGGTAGAGGTGGATTGAAGACAAAACGAGGGAAAGCGAAACCAAAACGAACACGAAACACACCGTTTAGGTTCAGCCCTGATTTATTTGTCGTTTCTCGGGTCAACGCCCCAACGTTAGGGGCTTATTGGGCCGTCTTGAGTCGTTGGTTGGGCATCCCGGGCTTTCGCCACGCGGCCGCCCCGTGGAGGAGGAGGAGGAGGAGGAGGAGGAGGAGGAGGAGGAGGAGAGGAGGATGGAGGAGGAGGAGGAAGAGGAGGAGGAGGAGGAGGAGGAGGAGGAGGAGGGGGAGGAGGAGGGAGGAGGGGGAGGGAGGAGGAGGAGGAGGAGGAGGAGGAGGAGGAGGAGGAGGAGGAAGAGGAGGAGGAGGAGGAGGAGGAGGAGGAGAGGAGGAGGAGGAGGAGGAGGAGGATGGTCTTTGTCTTCGCCCCCCATTTGAGCACCCCCCCCCTTCGCACCCGCCCCAGCCTCGCGGGCGCCCGTGCGCCGGGCGGGCTTCCCGAGGCTGCGCCGCGCGTTGCCGCCCCGTTGCCGGCCTCGGCGGGGGCCTCGGTGAGCGCCCCGTAGGAGCCGGGTGGTCCCCCCGAGATTGCGCCACGTTCCGCTCCGTCCTCCTCCTCCTCCTCCTCCTCCTCCTCCTCCCTCCTCCTCCTCTCCGCCTCCTCCTCCTCCTCCTCCTCCTCCTCCTCCTCTCCTCCTCCCCTTCTCATCCTCCTCCTCCTCCTCCTCCTCCTCCTCCTCCTCCTCCTCCTCCTCCTCCTCCTCGTCGCCCTCCTCTTCGTCCCCTTCCTCGTCCCGTATGCGCTGGGTGGTCCCCAGATTTGCGCCGCGTGCCGCTCCGGCCCGGTCTCCCGATGCGCTGCGGCCGGGCGAGCGGGGAGCACCTGGAGTACGTAGGATGCTCCCCGTGGGGCATTCTGCGCAGCCGGTCCTGTGGACCCCAAGAGGTTTCTGCCCCGGGCGCTCTTTGTTGGCTGCTCTCTGGGCGACGGCCCCCTGAGCCCGCGGAGGCCCCCCCCGGAGGGCCGAAGGGGGCGGGCGAGGAGGCGATCGCGCCTCCCGCGCCCCTCCCCCCCCTCGTTTCATTTCGCGCTGGGAGCGTGGAGGGGTCCCGAGGGAATAGCGGGTCGCGTGGGGCCTGAGCGGCCCGCTCCCCGGGCCCCCGACGTTGCCACCCGCGCTGTCTCGCGGGCGCTGCGTGGGCGCCCGGTGTGCTTAGCTTGCACGGCACAGCTTTCGCCGCATGGTGTGCACTGCGTGCAGCTTGCACGGCACAGCTCACATTTCGGGCCGAACGAAAGGGGGGGATAGGGAAATGGGGGGGTGCGAAATCTGCTGCATGCAGCTGGTTTCGGCCTCGCCGCCGGGCCCATTCCTCGATACATGGGCGCCTCCCGGCGCCGGGAGGCGCCGGGAAAATCAGCTACGTGAGCTGATTCTCAAACTCTCTCTTTGATATCCCCCCCTTTCGCCCGACCCGAACATTGCACATGTTGCGCGGCATCGCCTACATCACAGAGCCTGCACCCCACAGCTTCCACCTCTAGTTCACACCGCTTAGCTTACGCCATATAACTTGCACCACATAGCTTGCGCTGCTCAGTTTCCACCTGCATATACTATACAACACAGCTTACATTACAGACCGTTCACCACATAGCTTACGCTGCAAAGCGTTCACCTTCACAGTGGCATAACGCACTGTTTGGGGTCCACGCTAGCTAACCTGTGCGTATACGTATGTACATGAGGTTGGGCAGGGTCTAACTTCTCGGGGCCAGTGCCTCCCTTCATGTGACATTATTTTAGTGGCAGTTGAAGGGCCAGCATGCTTTTGGTAGCAAATCGGTAGCAAATCATGGAAGCCTGGTCTACCCTCTCAATTCCGTCGTTAGCGTCGATCAGCGTCGACTAGCGTCTTAGAGTCGGTAAGATAGCGCCGATGTAACGTCGATAAGTGTCGATTCGCGTCGATTTAGCATCGACTTGGCGTCGATTAGCGTCGATTCGCAAGAGCCGACAAGGTGGTATGGGAGGCTCCCATGAGTTGCCACCGAAGCATGCTCCAACCCTGGTCAGCTTCGGGGGCGCCTGGTGCAGCCAGCAATCGGTAGTGGCCCGAGGGTAGTAGATGCAGGATCTGCCCAGCAGCGTCGAGCTATTGGGAAGGCCTTGCGGCAGGTGCTGCCGACTCTGAAGGGGGACGGCGGCGACGACGACGACGCTGACGCTCTGGAGCCTTTCTTGGGGCTCTCTTGGGAGCCTAATGGGCTCTGTTTGGGGGCCTCTTGCGGATCTGAGGGCTCTTGGAGGCATGTGGGGAAATAAGCAGCACCCGCAACAGCGGATAAGAGTGAGGAGGGCTCCTCCGGGGGGGGGGGGGGTCCGGGAGAGGGGGGTGGTCCCCTTGTCCACAAGGGGGGGGGCAGGGGGAGGGGTCTTGAGCTCCCCTTGTCCGCTGGGGACCCCCCCCCCCGGAACCGCCCCCGGGACCCCCCCCCCCCCGGGACCCCCCTGCAGGGACCCCCTTCGGGACCCTCCCCCGTCGCCAGGGAAGGGATCCAAGGGAAGGAGCTCCCGTTCGAATCCAGTGCACGACGTTGTTTGATTGATTTCCTTCTGGCCGGATCGCTTGGGGAGGAGGGCCCATGCCTAGGGAAGGGGGGGGGGGGAAGCGACGACGACGACGACGACGACGACGACGAGGACGACGACAGAGATGACGACTCGAACGGAAAGATGTCTCACACATGCCGGCAGGGTCGGCGGATTGCGCAAAAATTGCTTCAGAAGACCCGCTCGTCGACGACACGGAGGAGGCCCTGGTGCTCGCCTCAGCACGGCTGGGATCGAGAGTGGGGGGGAGGGGCCAGCAGCTTGATGGCACTCGCCTCATCCGTGCTTTTGGTGGCTCGAGGCTGGGGCAGCAGAGGAGTAGGAGAAGGAGGAGCAGGAGGAGGAGGAGGGGGAGGAGGAGAAGGGGGGGAGGACGAGGACGAGGAGGAGGAGAAGGAGGAGGAGAAGGAGGAGGAGTCTCGAGGGGTATGCGTCGAGCTCTGCTACCTGCGAGCGCCGCGAGGAACGCGTCGCTGCTGCACTCGCACGGTTGGATTCGACCAGGGGGGCTCTGGCTTGCTGCAACGACTCTTCACGCTGGGCGATGATGCCACTTTTCCATCAGCGCTGATGGGGGCGACCAGATAAATTGTCAAAGCGGCAGGAAGTAAGATTGGCCGTCCGCTGTGCCAACTGTGCAGGTTGGCAACGCAGCAGGCTTCAGAGAAGCACGTGTCTACCGCGCGTGCTGATCCAGGCTCGCTAGTCGATGCAGGCCGAGAGCGGCAGCATGCTTCTGGCACCTCCGGAGGCCTCCGGTCTCCAGAGAGGTCGCTGTGCAGGTTGGCAATGCTGTGCAGATTGGTCCCCCTCCACCAACGCAGCAGGCTCTAGAGAAGCGCGTTTCTACCGGGCTCGCCGATCCAGGCGCGCTACAGTCGATGCAGGCGCCGAGAACGGCCGCGCACTCCTGGCACCTCCCGAGGCCTCCAGTCTCCGGGGAGGCCCGTCTCTGGAGCTCCCACGATCCCCCTCCGCTGGCCAGAAGAGGTCCCTGCGGTGCCCCCCAGGAGGCTGCCGGGGGCTGCAAAACGGCGCACACGTCCCGAAGTTTGGTCCCGTGAGCGAGAAACTTGCGGTGGGGGCGCGCATCAGGAAACCATGTGCTCTTCGTCAGGGTACCCCGGGTTTCTTCGCTACGGGCCGGGTGGCTTCCCGCGGCCGTTGAAGAAGCGGCTGTCTTCGGGGCGCTCTGGGTTCCCCCCGTGCGTGTCTTCCGCGCGGGTTTTCAGGGTTGTGTTTCTTGCGAGGGCCTGTTGCGGACGCGCTCGCTCTGTATCCGTTTCCGCGGCCTCGCGGGCCTGGCCCCTGGGCCGCGACCCCGCGGACACGGGGCGTGTTTGTCTGGATGCACCGCGCGGAACGTGTCCGTGCGACCTCGCATTCACGGGATCGCGCCCTGGAATCCAGACCGCGAGGGCGCGGTTACGGGTATGTTGGCCGTTCGTGATGGTCCTCGATGTGTGGCCCTCGATCTTTCCCATCTATCCGTGGTGCTTCGATTGTCTTTCGATGCGTGGACCCTCTGTCTTCTCGACCCTCTCCTTGAGAGCCGATCTCTCATGTCCTGTGTCAATACATCGGCTTTCTGTCCTAAAAAGAGCATGCAGCCGACGTGCCAAAATACGACGGCCTCGACCAGACATGGTCGCAACAACACCTCGCGCCAACCACAAACATCCGTTCCCAGAGCATTCTCGGGTGGGCTGATCGGCGAGCCAGGACGCTCCGCCACTGCCTGACTGCCTGACCCCCGCTCCTGCGTGATCAGGGGTGGACAGGCCCCCCACCCTGACACGTCGATTCCTGAACTGTCCGTTTTCGGTTCCCGAGAGGGCGCCGCGGCCGTCATTTTCCAGGCGTGCGCCCGCCAGGTTTCGGCCCGAGATCGTTTTCACTAAACCACGTTTTACTAAAGTCAGGAAGGAAAAACACACACAGGCACAATTAATCCTCGAGTCCCAGGAACATATGGGAAAATATGGGAAGTGGGGGGGGGGAAGACGAAAGCCCATAGAAAATATAGGGAAATATGGGGAATCCTTTTTTATTTGTGTGTATTTGTTTGTGCGTCCCAGTTCCCCTTCATTTAGACCCGAGGTCGCTTTCACTAAACCACGTTTTACTAAAGTCAGAGCGTGAATTACCTACCCCGCTTTCGCCTCCAGGCAAAACCAAGCCATACCACGCGCCTCCTCGTCCAGCGGCCTGACCAGTACAGGCTGCAGTTTGGCATCGTGTGGTATCTCTTGGAAGCGAGGGTGGTCAAAAGCGAGGTAGGTTTGTTTTCCCCCTATAGTCGGGGGAGCGTAAGACCCGGGTTTGCCGGGACTCGGGTTCGCCATTGTTTTTTGACGACCGCGATTCGGATTTTGACGAGGAGGAGTTTCGTGGGATGTCTGCAGCGGGAGGCCTCGTCAAAATGCAGGCTCGGCCTCGTCATTTTTTTGACGACCTCGTCGGGGATTTCCGAGTCCCCCGTACCCGGGTCTTACGTCTCCCCCCTATAAAGGGGGTTCTGTCCATCCCCGACGTGAGCGCCCGGCCTCTGCGGCCCGCCGCAGCCCAGCTCGGCCGGGCAGGGGCCGGCGGCGAGCGGCGGAGCGGCGGCACGGACCTCGCACAGCAGGGCGCCGCGCGCCGCCTCGGAGGGAGGAGGGCGGCCCCTCTCACGAGGACGAGGAGGCGGAGGAGGCGGAGGAGGAGGAGGAGGAGGAGGAGGAGGAGGAGGAGGAGGAGGAATAGTAATTATAATAGGGGTCGTAGTGATGATAGCAAGAATGATGCTAATACCAGTCGTGGCGATACCGATACGACGACGAATCGCAATCACAATCACATTCATACGAGTACCAATGATAATAGCACTAAAAACTAGTATAACTAACCATCGTAAAAACAGCCGTAATGAATATACGAATAAGAAGAAGAGGAGAAGTAGATGCTGATGATGTTGACGGGGAGGAGGGGGAGGAGGAGGAGGAGGAGGAGGAGGAGGAGGAGGAGCAGGAGATTGGTGCTTCGCCACTGCTTCAGCCTGGGCCGAGCCTGTGGAGCGCCCGGCTGCCGTGCGCCCTCTGCAGCCGTTGCGCCGGTGCACGGCCCCCGCGGCCCGCTGGCCCCGCGCCTTTTCACGCGTGCCTGCAGTCGGGGGCGGAAAAGAGGGGGGTGATGACCAGGGGGGGGATGGATATCATGGCGGGGGCCATGATATTTCCCCAGATTTCATGGCGCCTCCTCTTATTTGATACGTCCCTGGCCCCCCCGCTGGGCCGCGCACATGCCGCCGGTCATGATTTGCACCCCCCCCCTCTTGGACACCCCCCTCTTGGCCGCTCCCGATCCAGCGGGGCGACCTATAGAGAGGACCTGGGTACGACGAGGGGCGACGAGGGAGGACGAGGGGCGACGGAGGACGGACGACCGACGGGGCAAGGTCGACGACGACGACGACGACGACGACGACGACGACGACGACGACGACGACGACGACGACGACGACGACTGACCACGGCAGACGACGACGACGGCGACGACGACGACGACGACGACGACGACGACGACGACGACGACGACGACCCCTCGCAGCCCGCTTGCCCCGCGCCCTCTCACGCGTACCTCCAGGGGAGCGGGTCTCATTTCGATTCCTCCGATTCGATTCCGCTGGCTTCCGATTCCGATTTGAGATTCGGCTTCGGGTTCCGATCTGGACTCCGATTTCTCAACGGAGGCCTGCCAGCCTGCTGATTTTCGCCGATCCGACTTCTCCCGACTCGGCTGCCGATTTCCGCCGGTCCGATTCATGTCGATCGCCGGTCTGGCTTCTCGGCTCGACTCGGGGCTCGCCTGGAGGGGCGGGGTGCGCAGCTCGCGCGGCGACGACGGAGGCGGCGGCGACGAGGAGGAGGACGAGGAGGAGGGCGAGGAGGACGAGCGAGGAGGGCGAGGAGGACGAGGAGGAGGACGAGGAGGAGAACGAGAAGGAGGACGAGGACGAGGAGGAGGGCGAGGAGGAGGACGAGGAGGAGGACGAGCGAGCGAGCCATAGAGCAGGGAGCCGTCTGAATACGGAGCCCAGGTTATTGCCAGAAATGGAGAGAGCCGCGGTGGCAACCCTCAGGTGCCCCGCGGCAGCAGGCTGCACAAGTCTGCTATAGTGCCTCACACCAGTGTAAGTCGGGTCTGTCCCCCTACAGGGGGATGTTCGACAGAAAATAAAAAGTGCCCCAAAAATGCCCCCCAAAGGTCAAAGAATACTCAAAAATTGTCCCCAGATTATTTTTGGACTATTTTTTGATTATTTTTGGTGTATTTTTAATTTTTCGTCGAAAATCCCCCATGTAGGGGGACTGGTCCGACTTACACCAGTGGCTGGATGCCTCCCCATCCGCCAGCCAAGCCCGCACGGTGAGGACGAGGACGAGGACTCGATGGAGGAAAAGCTACGGATACCGCCACCCTTCCTTCGCGTTCGCCTTTTGTGGGCCTCCTACATGACGCCTTCGCTGGAGTCGCCTCGAAGTTCTGGTCAGAACGCACCCTGGGAGAGTTCCGGGGAGCAGCGGTGTTGGTACCGTCCCAGACATGCGGCGTTCTGGTTTTGTTCGGTGCGGCGGCCCTGGAAATCCCGACCCTTTCCCCGGGGCGGGTTTTTCATCCTGAGTCGTTTTCTGACGCTCCCAGGGACCGACGAGGGCCCCCATGGGCCGAAAGTGGCGAAACACTTGCCTTCCTTTTTGACGACGCGATCATGTCTGGGTTTGGGAACTCCGTTTGGGAGTTCCCCAAGGACGAGGACGAGGACGAGGGGTCCCGCCCCGCGCTGGCCCAGCTCCCCGTAAGTCGGGCACGTCCCTCGACAGGAGGAATCTCAAAAAATTAGGCAAAAGATAGTCGGGGGACGATTTTTTCATTCTCAATTGGCAAGGTTTGGCTATTTCTTTGACTGTTCTTCAGCGTTCGTCCAAAGCCCGCCTGTAGCAGTCTAGGCCTCCTAGATGGGATCGGGGTAGATGGGGTCGGAGGATCGCGCCTCGATGTAGGGCCCGATTCGCTTCCCGTCGACGGCGCCGATGCACCACCCACGTCGACGACGCATCGCCGGTGCATCGCCGAAGCATCGCCAATGCATCGCCGACGCATCGCCGATGTATCGGCGATGCGGCGGGATCCTCCGACCCCATCTACTCGGACCTCCTCCTCCTCCTCCTCCTCCTTCTCCTCCTCCTAATTGTGTGCAGTGAGCTCTCGCGGGCGCGTGTTCCTCACCGCTGCTCCGAGTGTCTCTAACCCCCAAAAAAACATCTACTCGAACCCCATCTATAGGAGGCCTCTCAGCAGGACGTGCACGCCCCAGCGCTGCCCCGCGGCGGCCTCGCTGCCCTGCCCTCTCCTCCCCTCGAGGCCGGGCGTGGCGGCGCGCGCGCCCGCCCTCGAGGGGCCGGGCGGGGACCTGCGCGCCGCGCGCACGGGGCGGCTGTGCACGCAAGAGGGGCCCTTCGCCGGAGGGACCTCTGGTGCGGGCTCAGACCTCCTACAGTCAACGCGCCTGGTAAGGATGCGCGCCTTCATCGAGGATGCCCTTGCGTCCTTGCCTCTGTGGCCCGTCCGTTGCTGTTTTCACTGGTCGCCGCCGCCCAACAAAAATCCCAGCTTCAGCCTCCAAGGGTCTTGCGTCCTTGCCACGCGTCCTTACTATACGTTTTGACTGTACCCTGACACGTCGATTGAGGCATTGGCCGTTTTCGGGTTCGCGAGGGGGCGTCGCGGCCGCCACTTTTGCGGGTCCAGGTGCGTCGGTTTCGGGCCCAGGCCGTCTTCGCGAAGGGGAGGTCCACGAAAGGGAGGTTTGTCCACCGCCGATCATCGGGGTCCCTCCGATCGCTGAGCGCGATGCGATAGCAGCGGCCTGCGCGCTTGGGTTTGGCCCCCTCGCGCCCCCCACAAAGCCGCGAACCACAGGTCACTCCTGCCCAGGGTCACTCTGGCGTGCGGCCGTGGCACAGGGCGGCGGTGTAGAGGGCGGCGGCGAGGAGCTGCGCGTCGACACGTGCAGCGTCGTCGCAGATATGATCGCGTCGTGAGGAGAAATCGGGGCGGGAGGTGTTTTTTGCCATTTTCGGCCTCGGGGGGCCCTCGCCGGGATGGAAAGCTGGTCCCGGGGAAAGGGTCGGGACTGTCGCATGTCTGGGGTCGTTTCACGGCACGGTTTTGAAGCTTCGCTCGGGCCCTTTTGCAGTGGAACTCGGCGACCGCCGTAATTCGTTATTTTCTTCCATCTCACGTTTTGGCGCAGCGTCGCTGTAGCAGGGCACAGTACTGGAGGTTCAGGGCACCTTTTGCTGCGCGTTGCCTGATGTGAGACATGAGGAAGACGCTGTGCGTCGGATTGCGGTTCCTGTCCGGTCGACGCTGGGGTGTCGGACCCGCCCAGGGCTCGTTTCGTTCCCTCCGGCTCGATTCGACTCGCTGTCGATGGCTTCCGATTCCGATTCGAGATCAGACTCGGGATGCCGATCTGGCTTCCGAGTTCTCGGTGGCGGCCGCACTGACCTGCCGATTTCCGCCCATTTGACTTCATCCGACATGAGTGCCGATTTCAGCCGATCCGATTCTTTTCGGTCGCCGACCCGACCTATCGACTCGATCCTGGATTCTGGGCTCTCCGACCCGCCAGCTGGGGTCTCACTCGGCTGCGCATGGCGTGCCTCGAGCTCTTGCCCGGGCCGCTCCAGCCCTGCAGAGGGGGCAGGGCGCACGCGGAGCTGCCGAGGCGAAGCGACGGGCGGGGAGGGGGGGGGGAGCGGCCCAGTGGAAGCTCCGGGGGGTGGTGACAGGCTCAGGGGGCGGTGTTGCATCCACCTCCGAGTCGCCCATTCATCGCCGACACGGGCCCGACAGCCCACCCCGCCCAGGAGCCTGCGGACTCGCTCTCGGGGGCCTCTCGTCGACCTATCGGCGATGCACCGCCGATTCCAGGCTGATGTCTCCCCCCCCCTGGGGAGGACCCCCCGATTCGGAGGAGGAGGAGGAGGAGGAGGCGGAGGAGGAGGAGGAGGAGGAGGAGGAGGAGGAGGAGGCGGAGGCGGAAGCGGAGGAGGAGGAGGAGGGAGGAGGAGGAGGAGGAGGAGGAGAAGGAGGAGGACCCCCTCAGGGGGGCGTGCTACGCTGGCACCGGCGTCTCCTTGCGTCGGACCCGCCGCGCCCGTCCCCCCCCCGTCCCGTCGTCCTTTCCGCCCGTTTCACCTGCCCACACTTCCGCACCTCCTAGGCTCCTCCTCCTCTCTCCTCCTCCTCCTCCTCTTTCCTCCTCCTCCTCCTATGGTACGTTTGCTCCTCCTCCTCCTCCTCCTCCTCCTCCTCCTCCTCCTCCTCACCCTTGCGCCTCTGGCGTGGGGTGCCGCCTTACGGCGCGGGGAGCGACGGCGTGGCGCCCTGCGCTCTGCGGCAAGGCGCTGCGCACGGCGCGAGCCAGGGCGCCGGCCCCGCGTGCGCGGCTCCGCTCGAAGGGGTCTCGGGATGCTTTTGCTCCCGCCTGGCTCGCTCCGAGGTCGGCACGAATCTCCTGATGACGAGCTCCGTGTTCGGCTTCCCCGACTTCGGCCACCTGGTGGAGCTGCAGGACAGGGCACTGTTCTTCGCAGACGAGCAAGAAGCCATGTGATAATTGTACGTTCCAGGACTGCCAAGGTTGTCGGAGTTTCCCAGACTTCCAGACTTGCCCCACGGGCTGCAGCAACGAGGGCCGCTGAACGCTGACAAAACCTTGGAACACATCCTGAGCCAGCCGCATCATGACGTTATCGCCCTAGCTCTGGAAGGTCCATCGGGATTGCAGCTTGATTGATGAAAGCACAGTGGATCCCGAGTTCGTGTCGAGGGTTAGCGTGTCTTCCAGTCGAGGGCTTGGCTTGGCCCAGAAGGGTGAGGGCATGCCATGTACGACCCGAGGGCCAGTCATAGATAAGCTGGAAGTGTTCCTGGAAGCTTGTTTCGCCCACCTTGAATTATCGTCTTCTTCTTTGTCCTCCCCGCCCGTTCCTGCCCCACTCCTCCTCCTCCTCCTCCTCCTCCTCCTCCTCCTCCTCCTCCTCCTCCTCCTCCTCCTCCTCCTCCTCCTCCCCCTCGTCCTCCTCCTCACTTGCCCTCTCGGGATCCACGTCCTCTTTGACATTCGACTCTGCGAATAGAAGGGGACAGAACTCCATGGTCAGGGATGCGAGGGATAGACATGATGTCAGATACGGCGGGGGCACTGGTGAAGGAACGTGCACACGGGAGGCTTCAGACCCTGGAGGGTTCCTCATCTGACGAGGACGGCGGCAACATCCATGGCCAAGTTTCGATTGGAGTTCCACTGGCCTCCCGACACTGGATTCCCGATCGAAGGTCTCCTTACCCAATGCCCCCGCTGTATGGCGCGAGCGTTCCTCGCCCTCCTCCTCCTCCTCCTCCTCCTCCTCCTCCTCCTCCTTCCCCCCCCCCTCCTTGTATGAAGCCAGGAGTTCTCGTTATTGGGCAGCTGGCTCCAGTTTCACGGCAGCCATCGTTTTCACGCCGAGGGCCTCTATCGTGGAGTGCTTTTCGGGAGCTCGCGGGGGGCACGCGGCCGGAGCGAGGCATGCACCGTATGCCCGCTGCGAGCGTCGGGGGAGAGATCCGTTGGACAGGCAGGTCCGCCCGACGCCTTTCTCCCTCGGCAGCGGCTCGCCCAGGCCAGACACAGAAACATTCGCTCTCAAGGACCAGGGCGTGCTCAGATGGTACGGCGGTTTGACCAGCAAGGCCCTCAGCAGATATTGCAGCTTCCCTTGTTGCTGCTGCACGTGGTTGGTGTCCTCTTTGTAGTGCTGTCATGAAAGATGGTGGGTGATGAGAAGAAGGATTAACAACAAGATGGAGGGGGGAGGGGGAGGCGGAGATGGAGGAGGAGGAGGAGGACGAGGAAAGAGAAGGAGGAAGGGGTGAGGATGAGGGAGGCAGGTGGAGGACGGAGGAGGGGGCAGGAAGGAGGGTGGTGCGAAGAGGAGGAGGACAAGGAGGATGATGATGAGGAGGAGGAAGTGGTGGACGATGATGATGATGATGATGATGATGATGATGATGATGATGATGATGATGATGATGATGATGATGATGCTGATGCTGATGCTGATGCTGATGCTGATGCTGATGCTGATAATGATGATGTTGATGATGACGATGACGATGACGATGACGATGACGATGATGCTGATGATGAGGATGAGAATGAGGATGAGGATGAGGATGCGGATGAGGGTGAGGATGAGGAGGATGAGGATGAGGATTAGGATGCTGATGATGATGATGATGATGATGAGTCTGCTGATGATGATGAGTCTGCTGATGATGATGAGGAGGAGGAGGATGAGGAGGAGCAGGAGTGAGGATGGGGAGGGCTGCCAAGTACGCATTAGGCGTAAAGCTTGCTCGAACCCGTCTTCAAATATGATGCGACTATCAATGAAACGCAATAGAGTGTGGGAGCTTGCAGGAGTGGGCATGTGCGTGTCAAGGGTGCCTCACAGAATGAGGCACTTCCTTCGGCTCTTGATCTAGGGGGACCATCTCGCAGAAGCAGGGTCCATTAGTTGTCCGATGGCAGGCCGCATCCCTGAAGTCAAGGGTGCGTCTGGAACAGGCTTGCCCCACGGAGATAAAGAATATCCACAGACTCCATCGTGTGTTACGGCCATGTCTCGAGAACGTCCCGAGGCTATCTTGCCGCCAACTGGCCCGTTGAAGACCGATTGTGTGACACATGCTCATGGGGCCCGCGGGTGACTTCATGTGCTAGGACAAGCGTTTTCTTGCCATGCTCATGAGGCATCCGCCTTGTTTTGATGGCAAGCTCGTACACCCCTCTTCTAACGGGATTCTAGACCGGGTTGGAGGGGGAAGGGGGGGGCAAGGGGGGGTGGCAGATTTACACCCATTGACGGCGGGTGGTTTTCAGATTGCCTCTGCCGCTTTAGTGCAGCTACATGGATGGAGGACCAGTAGTTTTCAACATGCAGTTCTCGCTGTAGCGCCTGGCACATTCGATTGAGCAGGTTATGGCAGGTTACAAGGGTGCAGTGCGGGTGATTTTCAAGATGCGGCTCTCTCTTGAGAGTTCAACAATTCCGACGTCCCGAATTTCCGAACTTCTTAACTGCTATACGGGTGGAGGGTGGTTCCTTTCAGAATTGGGTTTCCGCTGGAGACTTCCACAATTTCTGTGACCAGAACTTCGAAACATTGTGCAACGCTTATACGGATGGAGAGCAACTGGGGCTATTGTTGAACACATGTTCGTGATCTTTTTTTTTTGTGATTTCTTGATCCTTGTGAGAGCGACCTTGCTTTTCGTGATCCTCCTGATCCTACGTCCTCGTGATCCTTTTGAGAGCAACCTTGCGTTTCGTGATCCTACTTTCCTGCGTTTCTTGTAGCTGAAGGGATCCTGGGTGGATTCTTTACGAGACAGGCCTGGATAGCGGGCCCACCCATGGGCTCGTCATTCAAGGAGGGATCTCTTCCCGCACTGGAGCGTGAGCACGTGAAGGGTCTGCGGAGAGGGCGCCTGGGACGGGAGCAGGAGCAGGAGGAGGAGGAGGAGGAGGAGGAGGAGGAGATATAGAGATAGGAGGAGGAGGAGCAGGAGGAGGAGGAGGAGGGCGTGTTGCACTGATGCATCTTGGGCTTACTCTGGTCCTCCTCTTCTCTTCGCTCCCCTCCCGTCAGCAAAAAAGCGAGCAGACGCGCCGACCCACACAAAAGAACGCTCCGGCCTCCCTTTAGCCTCCCGCCGCCGGGAGAAGTGGCCGCGGCCCGCTCTCGTGCGTCAGGGAGGAGGGCCGGCACGTGCAGAGAGGCTGGCATGTGCTCTCTCTGCGGCTCATCCGCGCGGAGAGCATAGGCGGAGCACTCGAGGCCTTTGTTGGCTGACGATGCGGCTGGTCGTGGACGCTGCACTGGGAGTGCGATGCTTTGATTGCCCGAGGCCTGCTTTGATTAACTGCATGCGTCAGAACGAACGTGCCTTCAAGCAGCATGGCCGAATCATCCTTGTCTCAGTGTTCTGCAGTGTGTGTGTGTGTGTGTGTGTGTGCCGCTGTCTATATATTCAGAGTCGCTGCCCCTGTTCGCCAGGAGCCTGGTAACTGGTGTCTTGTCAGGGGCAATCCGAAGGAGGGCGAGCGCGAGGAGGACTTGTTTCTAGAGCTCATTCACAAGCTAACCGATCTTTACAAGGATGGCTGGCCGCCTCGCGCTGCCGAGAGAAAGTTTCCAGCTAAGCGTTGGCATCCGTCGAAGTGCAGCACTGCAGACGTGAGGGCGTAATGATAGGCGGGCAGTTTGAGGGGACTGCGCAGAGACCTTCCGTATGTGTGGGGGTGCTGCGACGTAGGAGCATTGCGCTGACATTCTTCGTTTTGACCTCATTGTTCGCAGGCGTAATACAGCATGCCAGCAAGTCAATGCTTGTAGATTGCAATGCATTGAGATCCGAAGTAGAGTCACAGAGCGTGTACAGGCAATGCCTAGGCCGTGAACGATGGCCGAATGGAGTCGCAGTAATAGATCGCGCACGTGTTGGTAGCAGGAATGCGATTAACGCAGGCGTTTCGGGTGAAAAGGATGAAGGTGAGGCGAACATTCGAGAGAGACCGTTGGGCGACTAGAGCGTGTAAATACATGCACGCACATATCCCTCTATTTCTCTTTTTCTATCTCTCCGCATACAGTATAACTGTTCTGTGTGCGCGCGCGTATGTACCTTTACACATCGAGATCCAGTGCCTCTCGACTAGTGGACGGATGCTCAGGAAGCTTTCTCTGTGTCATCGGGCATTTGCTACTGGCGCGGCAAGCTTGAGCTGAAGGAAACGAAGGGTGGCGATATTCAAGAGGCGCGCACCTGTGCACAGAAAGCCCGAGACCTGGAGTGGACATTGCATCTTGTGCCCGCAAGTACTCCTCTTCATCCCAAATGCTTTGTCAGACTGCGTGCGTAGAGGGCCGCGATCAACGCAATCGTGGTGCATCACATGTAGACGGGTGTGCTTATACTTTGGGCGCCGTCAGTTGATGAGATTGTGATCGGCGATTGCGTCCAGTGTCCGCTGCTTGCAGGTTGAGTCTGTATCCTCAGCTCTGGTACCGGTCAGGAGCACTGCACGTGAGGTACACCTCAGCCCCGCACCTGCGGATAGGAGTGGGGGGACAATTCGGTCTGCCTTGCCAGGAATACGGGGCTCGATCGCCAACGTAGAGAAGCCTGCCGCTGTGTCGGCGTATGTAGTGCTCCTGGTCTGCCTGGCGACCTTTTTGATTCGCACAGCCGTCGAGGTTGAGTCAGGTGTAGTTCTATGGTCGCGCTCCCTGCTCCTCCTCCTCCTCCAACAACAACTTCCTCCTCATCCAATACGAACAGGTAGAGAAGCCCGCCGCTGGCGCCAGCTCATTCGGACCACCAGGCCCGACGCACGCGCCGATGGCTTGTACAAAACAAGATCGGTTGGTCGCCTGGCGGTTCGTCGGCGGGTCGCAAGGATCGAGTGTCGATGCAGCATGTTCCGCTGGCGGCGGTAATTGAAAGCAATGCGGGTGGGTCGCGGGTGCTTCTGGGAGAGGCCTCAGAAATTCTGGGGTTCCCCTAGGGCGTCAGGAAGAGTCCTCAGAGCCTCTGGCCTCGGAGATTCTGGAAGAGTCTCTAGGAGCGTAAGGAGTGCGCCTGGGCGAGAGCAACAGTCTCGATTGTCCGATTGCGTTGCCGCCCATATCCGCACCGCGCTGGGGGAACCGGCCTCGCAAGGCTGTAGCCCCTCTCGCCTCTCGCGGCTCTTTGGATGCTGCCTTGGGGGCGTGGCAGGAGTCCCATGCTGGTAGCTCAGGCGAGCTTCACGAATTTGAGGTTCTGGAAGGAAAGCTTAACCACCTTGAAGGCCCGATTGGGTGCTGCGTTCTCACGTCTTTCGGTCGATCAGGAGTTGTCGCGGGCCGTGTTGGACAGGTCGTTGGAGGGTCCAGGGGCGCTTCCCTTTGGGGCCATCTCGGGCTGGTATGTTAGCACTTCTCGGGAGCTTCCTGGGGCTCTCTCTGAGCACCTTCAGGCGTTATTCGCAGAATGGCGTTGTCGGGGGCCGTCTTGCGAGCCTCTCGGGCTTAATCTAGGTGAACTCTCGGGGCTCTTGTTCCCCCCTTGGTCCCCACTTGGGGCCCTTTCGGAGCTCTTTGGGACAGTCTTGGGAGCCTCCTGGCACGATTTGGGGCCCTCTTGTGCAGTCTTGTTGCTCTTCCGGTAGCCTCTTGGACCGTCTTGGGGTGACCTTCGGGGCCTCTGGAGCCGTCCTGGCGTTCTGAAGCCCGAGACAGCCGTGATGCTACCTACCATCATGTAACAACCAAGCGAACATGATTCGTTCGCCTCTGGAAGCCCTCTTGGGCTCCTCGCGGAACCTTCTTGGGGCGTCTTTGGGGCCTCGTTGTGCGTCCTGGCGGCCTCCCGCACGATCCTGGGGCCCGCTCGGGGCCCTCGTGGCCAGCCCTCGGCCCGTGGAAGATCACGTGGGGCGCGCTCCTGGGAGGCGGGTGCCACAGGGCCTCCCTCTCTGACCTCGACTGCGGGCAGTACTTATATCCATATCCAGAGCGTCGTGGATTTTTTGGGAAGAGGTGCCGCAACGCCGAGGCGCACTGGATATGGATAAAGTCAAGCCTCTTGGGGCCAGATGTTTATCCATATCTTGTGCGCCTCCGGTTTCTGGGGAAGAGAGCCCAAGAATCCAAGACGCACTGGATGTGGATATAACTATTGCCCGCATCGACGTCTGTATCTTTTTCTGCGCCCTGCACGGACAGTGCTCGGACTTGGGTGCACAGATCCTGACAAAGAGCGGTGCCACAGAAGCGCGAGGGCCCTGCACACGAACCGCTGCAAGCGCGGGGGCGGAAGCTGCGGTGAGACGTCGAGCGGGAGCGCCGTCAGGGGGGGACGCGGCTCACGCGCAACCCCGAGAGGTGGGGAGAGTGAGCGATACGTTCAAAGGACATACAGTCAAAAACCCGAATAAGGACGCGCGACTTTACTCAGGGTGCGGTACCCTTGCGTCCTTGCTCTTCCTTGCTCTTGCGTCCTTCGGCTTTTCGTCGTCCGCCGCCCCAAAAATCCCAACTTCGGCTTCCAAGGGTCTTGCGTCCTTACCGCGCGTCCTTATTCGGGTTTTTAAATGTATGCAGCCAGCACCGAGGCAGGAGCACCGAAGCAGAGTGGAGGGCCCCAGCAGGAAGCAGAGCTCAGCCGTCGTGGCCGAGCTCGCGCCGCGGCGCCCACACTGCGGCCCCGCACCCCGGGGACCAGTGCGAGACCCTTCGGCCCCCTCGCTCCGGCTCGTGGCCTTCGGACCGTCCTCCTCCTCCTCCTCCTCCTCCTCCTCCTCCTCCTCCCAGTGCCTGGGATTGCGGCCGCGCGGCGCTGCTGTAACACGTTGGGGAGCACCGCCGCTTCCTGGGATGTCCTTGTTTTTTGGTTGGGTGGACTCCGTTGCTCGGGTGTCCTTGACCTGTAACTCAGGAGTCGCAGCAGCACGTGTTCGCATGTTAGCGTTCGTTTACAAGCCAGGTGTGCGTGAATCTATGTGTGTGTGTGTCTGTGAGGGTCTTTCTGTATGTGTTTGTGAGCGTCTGTGTGTGTGTGTCTGTGTGTGTCTGTGTATGTATCTGTGTATGTGTCTGTGTGTGTCTGTGTGTGTCTGTGTGTGTCCGTGTGTGTGTGTGTGTCTGCTTGTGCCTGTGTGTGTGTGTCTGTGGGCATATGTGTCAGTTTGTGTGTGTGTCTGTGTGTGCGTCTGTGTGACTGTGTGTGTGTCTGTGTGTGTGTGTCTGTGTGTGTATGTCTGTGTGTGTGTCTATGTGTGTCTGTGGGTGTCTGTGTGTGTGCCTGTGTGTGTGTGTCTGTGTGTGTGTCTGTTTGTGTGTTCTTCTCTCTTCATATCAGACCCCTCGGGGGCCTCCTGGCGCCTGGTAGAAGCATCTCGGTGTCCTCTCGGTGGCTGGTTGGGGGCTCGGGGAGGGGCTTGGGTCGATGTTGGAGGGTCCGCTTTCAGCGGTTTGGCTGTGGTGCGCTCTAGGGGCTCTTCTGGGTGCCGTCTTGGAGTCCTCTTGGCACCCTGGAGGCAAACCCGGGGCGGTCTTAGGGGCTCCCTCCCCCTGTCGCAGGGGACGCTATGAAGACAGACGAGGCGATAACATGTTTAAGCGGTTGATCGACTGCTTAAAAAAGATGTTGGATTCCTTTGTCGGCCCCGAGTGCTGCCAAGCCGGCCCACCAGACGCCCAAGATGACTCCAGGACGGTCTCATCAACCGCTTCCAGATCATGATGAAATTCTGGCTCCGCATGCACGTTCCCAGGCCTCAGTAAATCGAGGGTCTGGGGCCTTTCCAGAGTAATTATACTGCAACATGCAAGGTTGAGGACTCGAATGGACCTGAGGACATCCCACTAAGTTCCTGCCACATGATGGCTCTTGATGGTCTATGGTCTGAGTTGTTGGAGGGTGCAGTGCCACGCTTCCAGATGACATACATAACGTTTGTTGTTATGTTGCCGTCAGCGGGACATCTGGTGCATCCGTCGGCGCCTGTGCTTTGTCTGTCAGCCGTCGCTTGGGTGTGCGACCCGCTTGGCATGTATACCCTAACGACGTGGATGTTTTGTTTTCACTCACGCGCTGCAGTGGAGACATAATTTCTAGCACGCAAGCACATTTCGCGCGGTAGTTCCCCATCGCTTCTCTGCGCCGTGATCACCCTTCAGTCTTTGCCATCGAAGCTACTGCTTTGGGTTCGTGGCTTTCCCTTTTCAGTCGCGGGAAGGTCAGGGCAATCAGCCCGTCATGGACGACACTCCAGGTAAAGGAAAACATGGATGCGCATGTAAGCGATACGCCGCGCGCGCGGACGCCCTTCCCGCCCCCGCCTCTGCGGCTTCTTCCTCCTTCGCTTCGCCTCTCTGGCGTGTGGCCCGATTCGCGCCCGCGCAGCCCGGCCACGCCCGACCGACCCGGACCGTGCCCGCGGCCGGTGGCACAAAACGTGTGCCAGCAGTCAGGCTTACCAGCGAGTGTTGTGACGGCTGCCAGCTGCTCTTGATGGAGCCAGTTGAGCAAAGCTCCAGCGTCCTGCCGGAATGCCGCGGACGTCGCCGCCGAGCCCGCTGCTGTTGCGAGCAGGGGCATGCACAGGGCGAGCGGAGGTGCGCATCGAGGGCGGGATCGTGGTCTCCGCGAAGGAGAACAGTGATGAGAAAGTGCGCGAAGGTGTGCTCCTCTGTAAGCATGCATAGTGGCGTCTCCTTGTGCAGGCGAAGCGGGTGGTATTTTGAAAGACGGGTGGTTCCGAGAATCCAGCTTTGCTCTCCGAGTGAGAACTCGTGCGCGAGTTCCGACTGTCTTGTGGAGATGGGGTTCGTGGCGACCATCCTTTTTCGATGTTTCCTCAATGTTTGTTTCTTCCGGCCGCCTGCGGCAAACCCCGCCACTGCAAATGTGCAATGGTGTAGCAGAGCGGAGTTTGAATCCTTAACGCTTCGCGCATCCCCACCAGCCCATCCGGGAGCGACGCCTAGGGGAGCGGCCCTTGTCAGAGGGGCGTCGCATAATTTGGAGAGCTGGGGGGACCTCCGTGAGCCAGAGGCTTCTTGGATGCCTCTCGTGGTTTCTTGGGATGTCTCGTGGAGACCCCGTGGAGCGTCTTGTAGGCCTCCTGGCGGCTCTTTGGGCGCCGTTGGGCCTCGTGGAGGCCTCTTGGGACGTCGTGGGGGCTTCTTGGCGGTCTTCGGAGCCTCTTGGGGCGGCCTCTTGGGGCCTCTTGGGCGCCGCTTGGGGGCGTGTTGGGTGCCTCTTGGGGGCCTCCTGGGGCCTCTTGGGTGCCATTCGGGGGGTCTGGTTTGAACCCCCTCTGGGGGGGCTGTTTGTACCTCCCTCGCGCGCATTGTTCAGGAGGGAAACGACGCACAGACACAATTCAACGTCGATTCCCAGGAACATATGGGGAAATATGGAGAAACGAAAATCCAAAACATATGGAACAGATATGGGGAATTCTGTTATTTGTGTGTATTGATGTCTGTGTCCTTGGGCCCCTTCAATTGTGTTCGGCCTTTTTTTTGCCCCAGACAGTGCTTGCACTTAGGGGTTCGCCACTTCTTTTCTAAGGATCGAGGCCTGAATGGCGCTGTATAGCGGCTATGATTTCGCTGTCGCCGCCCCGTCGCCGCCTCAACGACGCCCGTCGGCTGGGCCCGTGTGGCTGTGTGGCGGCTATGCTGTCGCCGTCGCCGCCACGTCGTCGCCTCGTCGCCGCCCGTCGGCTGGGCCTGTGAGGCGGTCTGGCGGCTATGTTGCCCCCGTCGCCGCCTCGTCGCCGCCCGTCGACTGTGCCTCTGTGGCGGTCTGGCGGCTATGCTGTCGCCGTCGCCGCCACATAATTTGCACCACATAGATTGTTCACTATATGCTGCACAGCGTGTTTCTGCATGGGATAGAGTGCGCCTCATACGTTGTGCAATATGTATTATAATGCGCGTAGGTTGACCCACACAGAGTGCACCATGTGCATTGTGCCAGATCGATTGCAGAGCATAGGCTGTACAACAGTTAGTCTCTGCCGTAACCAACACCATCCCAGGCAGGCCTGTCCCGCCCCCCTTCTCACCCTTTGCAGACGAACCAGTTCGCGCGCGAAGGCGTTTATCGAACATCATGAGCTTTCAACACATATCCTTGCAACACATGGAATGGAGTCCGACGAAGGCATCGATACACCACCACCGTGCCAGACCAGGGCCATCCTGGGCCGTAGGATGGTGTATAGATCCTCCTGGCCGAGCCAGGAGGGTCTATACACCATCCTAGGGCCCAGGATGGCCCTGGCCTGGCACGGTGGTGGTGTATATATGCTTTCTGCGTATGAAGTGCGCGCGCGTCGTCGCGCGCGCATGCCGAACTCTTCTCAAAAACCTTGCTTGTCGCAGGATGTTTTCCCACATCGAGTGTTTCGCAGCAGGGATGTTCAAAACAAGCTTGCGCTCGGGCTCTTGCGAATCCTACATTCAACGGTATGGTTGAGCATGTTTCACAATTTTCTATAAGGCGGGCCTCTCGCGCGCGCATGTCGGAATCGCTTGAACGCCCTTGCACGCGTGCTGTCGCAATAATCCCTTACGACAGACTGGACGAAGTGCACGCGCGCGCGCTTCGTCGCGCGCGCAAGCGGAAACCCATCAAAAACTTCAGGCTTCGTAAGGACGTCAACATCGAGCGCCCCGCAAACAGCCTGCGCTCGCGTCCTGCCAATTCTAAAAAGACGTTGGGTTCGGCCAAACGTGCCCCTCGCGCCGCACGTCGAAATCATTCGAACGCCCTTGCGCGCGTGCTGCGGGGGCACCATCTATGTCAAATGATACCATGCGGGCCACTCTCGCGCGCCGGCCGCGCGCGCATGTCGAACTCCCCCCAAAACCTTCATCAGCGACGCGAGGGCGCCTTCATCGTCGTCGGCGTGATCAGCATCTGCGTAGTCACTGGGTTTGCCGCCGTCGGTGCCATTGTCGTGACCAGCTTCGCTTCTATCATCATCGCGTCTATCGTTGTCGACGTTGCCATGATGGTGCGCCCGCCCAAGTCGCCGACTCGCATTGAAACGCCCGCTGGGAATTGCTCAGCGGTTGCACCACACAGATTACGCCACAGGTCTCGCCCCCACACAGGTAGCACAACATATACTGCAGCACGTACATCGCGCAATCTATATTGCACCACGTAGGCTGCAGAACATTCACTGCGCAACACAAGTTGCGCATCGTAGATTGCACGACGCAGGTGGCTCCGCCTACAAAATGCTTGGGAAATCAAAATCGAGGTCTCCGACGAAAAGGTTTAAGACATCCATGGTGTTGCAACGCAAGTTCTCAAATCAAAAGATTTGCGCTCTCTTGCGAACTCGTACGGAGCACCCCATATTTGTTGTAAAGTGTTCAGTCGATGCGACCAAGTGGGCCTCTTGCGCGGGCGTGTCGAAATCGTTTGAATGCCCTTGCGGGCTAGCTGGGCGGGCTCGGTCGTTGTCAAATAATACTATGGGGGCCACTCGCGCCCGTCGTCCGCGCGCGCATGTCGAAATTTTCCAGAACCTTCATCACCCACGCGTGGACACCATCATCATCATCGGCGTGATCATTATCGGCGCCGTCAGTGGCCTTGCCGTCGTCATCGTCCTCATCGTCATCAGCATCGTTACTATCATCATCGTGCCTGCCGCCGCCACGCCGTTATGCTACCGCGCCCGCCCGAGGCACCGCTCGCACGGGAGCGCCCGCGCGTCATTGCGGCTTGCTAGACGCGCCGGGGAGTTCCAAGCGGTCAGCGCCACCGCGGCCGCGTCGGTCGCGCCAAACTATCTGGCAGCTCTGCGCGCAAGCCTACGCGCGCTAACGCGGCCACAGCGATGCGCCAGCCAGCGCCGAGAAATCATCGCAATCGCCGCCGCATGCGTTGTGCAAACCCAGTTACGGGTGGGTGGTTGGTTGACACATTTAAGTGCGGCAGGGTGAATTGCACCGCGTAGATTCTAGAAGCTTCGCGTTTCTCCACCAGCCCGCCTGGAAACCATGCCCAGGCGAGCTGAGATTATCGGGGAAGTGCGGGAGCAAGAGGGGGGCGGCGGAACCGTGCGACGGAAGGGGAAGAAGGAGAAGGAAGAAGTTGGATGGATGGCTGAGGGACTGGGGAGAAGGAAAACGAATAGGATGAGGAGGGGGAAGAGGAGGAGGAGGAAGAGGAGGAGGAGGAGGAAGAAAAGGAGGAGGAGGAGGAAGAAGAAAGAAGGAATTGGAGGAGGAAGGGGGAACAGGAGGAGGGGGGCAAGCAACAGGGCCAGAGGTCTCTTGGATGCCCCTCGTAGCTTGTTGGGATAACTCGTCGGCGCTTCTTGGTGGCGTCTCGGGACGCTTTGGGGGTAGCTTTGTGGTTATCGGGGGCTCTTGAGCGTCTTTCTTTAGCATCGTCTTGGCGTCTGACGCTTTGGGCGCTTCATGGATGCGCTTGTGCAGCGCGAGCGAGGTGTCATGGGATGGGTGCGCGGAGCAAGGTGCGCCGAGGCGCCCCAGCGATCTGGGAGGTGCCCTCGGGGCGCCCGCGGCGGGCCCCAATGGTCGCCCAGTGGCCGCGCGGGGAGTCGGAAATCCAGCCGCCCAGCCATTCTCGCCCTACCTATGTGCGTCCTGCTCCAGTCTGGCCCGTTTACCCGTCGAACAATGGGCGGCGAGGCAAGCGGCGCAGATGCCATCGGCGCATTCTGGTCCGATCGGACATTCGGCCCGTTGACTAGGACAAAACGTGGCTCAGTGGGATGGGGGGAGTGGTTGGACGTCAGATGTTGCGCGGACGCGCTTAGCTTGTCCCTCGCCATCTCTCCTCCCGCCTCCCTCCGCGGGTTCGTCGTGGGCGACAGCGCGGGGCAATTCCCCCCGTGCCGTTCGCTTCGCCTCCAAGTGGGGGCCGCGGATCCGGACGTCATGACACGTTTCAGTTGTGGCCTCGTTTTCCTGCGTCGCCAGAGGAGCAGGGGGAGGAGGCGGAGGAGGAGGAGGAGGAGGAAGAGGAGGAGGAGGAGGAGGAGGGGGAGGAGGAGGAGGCCAAGGAGGAGGAGGACGAGGTGGGGGAGGAGGTGGCGGAGGAGGAGGAGGAGGAGTGGGAGGAGGAGGGGGAGGAGGAGGTGGAGAGGGGGGCAGGAGGAAGAGAAGGAGAAGGATAAGGAGGGAAAGGAGAAGGAGGAGGAGGAGGAGAAGGAGGAGGAGGAGGAGGAGGAAGAGGAGGAGGAACAGGAATAATAATAATAATCAGAATACGGAGAAGAAGAAGATGGTGAGGAGGAGGAGGTGGAAGAGGACGAGGACGAGGAGGAGGAGGAAGAGGAGGAAGAGGAGGGGGAAAGGGTGCGGGGGAGGGGGGGCCTCGGGGTCTGAATTCCTCCTATGTATATATGTATATATGTATATTTGTATTTATGTATATATGTATCTATCCATATATGTCTATATGTATATGTACACATACACAGGTTCATGGGTCAGGATTTCTGGATCCGGTTCTCTGGATGTGGTCCTCTGGAACTGATTGTCTGGACCTGGTCCTTTGGATGTGAGCTATTGGATCTGATTCTGGATATGAATCAGTATATCACTCTGCTGATCTGATTCCCTGGATGCGATCTGAATCACATTCGAGTAGACGCAATGACTCCACACTTATCTTAAGGGTATCTGATTTTGCAAA